GTGTACCTAGTGTATAGTCAGAGTCTGTACGTGTACCCAGTATATAGTCAGAGTCTGTACGTTTACCCAGTGTATAGTCAGAGTCTGTATGTGTACCTAGTGTATAGTCAGAGTCTGTATGTGTACCTAGTGTATAGTATATAGTCAGAGTCTGTATGTGTACCTAGTGTATAGTCAGAGTCTGTATGTGTACCCAGTGTATAGTCAGAGTCTGTATGTGTACCTAGTGTATAGTCAGAGTCTGTACGTGTACCCAGTATATAGTCAGAGTCTGTACGTTTACCCAGTGTATAGTCAGAGTCTGTACGTGTACCCAGTATATAGTCAGAGTCTGTATGTGTATCCAGTATATAGTCAGAGTCTGTATGTGTATCCAGTATATAGTCAGAGTCTGTAACAGTATAGTGTAGAGTTGGTGTGTATAGTGCTTAGTCAGAGGATCAATCTGAATGCTATTATAGTCAGTTTGCCGGGGGGTCACTGGTATAGATGTGTTGTCCGAATTTTATTTTAATTTGATGTGTTTACTGCCTTATTAGTAATATTTTCATGTACAGCTTGATTTATGAACTGCTAGAATGGTACACAGGTAATTCACAAAAAATGTCCTTGGAGAGGTAATTTTTGGATGTAAATATTATGATCTTTTGGGAGAATCAATTCATGGTAACGTGAAGTCTCCTAGGAATATTCGAGAGGGGCATTATACATATACCATGATAAATGTTTTGTGATATGTACACATTTTCATGATTTACAGAATATAAGCATCCTTCATCAAAGTTTTTCTGTATTATATGCTCAACTAGGGTCCTAATCTAGCGATTTAACATTGGTATATGTTTAAAAACCAATCCTTTTTGAGATTGAAGTAATAATATTAATTATTAGTTACGTTTAATTCAGACTATTTATATTTTGTTGTAGTTATAATTGTGTGGAAAAGCAAATTAGGTTCAGTACTTAAAACTGTGTTACATCACAGTAGGGCCATCACTAACAGTGGGTGAGAGATGAGAATCCCTGTAACGTCAGCACTAATAGTGGTGATCAGTTGGAATCCCTGTAATGCCAGCACTAATAGTGGGTGAGAGATAAGAATCCCTGTAACACCAGCACTAACAGTGGGTGAGAGATGAGAATCCTTGTAACACCAGCACTAACAGTGGGTGAGAGATGAGAATCCCTGTAACGCCAGCACTAACAGTGGGTGAGAGATGAGAATCCCTGTAACACCAGCACTAACAGTGGGTGAGAGATGAGAATCCCTGTAACGCCAGCACTAACAGTGGGTGAGAGATGAGAATCCCTGTAACACCAGCACTAACAGTGGGTGAGAGATGAGAATCCCTGTAACGCCAGCACTAACAGTGGGTGAGAGATGAGAATCCCTGTAACACCAGCACTAACAGTGGGTGAGAGATGAGAATCCCTGTAACGCCAGCACTAACAGTGGGTGAGAGATGAGAATCCCTGTAACACCAGCACTAACAGTGGGTGAGAGATGAGAATCCCTGTAATCCCAGCACTAACAGTGGGTGAGAGATGAGAATCCCTGTAACACCAGCACTAACAGTGGGTGAGAGTCGAAATTCCTGTAACACCAGCACTAACATTGTTGATCAGTCGGAATCCCTATTAACGCCATCACTAACAGTGGGTGAGAGATAAGAGTCCCTGTAATGCCAGCACTAACAGTGGGTGAGAGATGAGAATCCCTGTAACACCAGCACTAACAGTTGGTGAGAGATGAGAATCCCTGTAATGCCAGCACTAACAGTGGGTGAGAGATGAGAATCCCTGTAACACCAGCACTAACAGTGGGTGAGAGATGAGAATCCCTGTAATGCCAGCACTACCAGTGGGTTAGAAATGAGAATACCTGTTACACCAGCACTAACAGTGGGTGAGAGATGAGAATCCCTGTAACGTCAGCACTAACAGTGGGTGAGAGATGCAAATCCCTATAACACCAGCACTAACAGTGGGTGAGAGATGCGAATCCCTATAACGCCAGCACTAACAGTGGGTGAGAGATGAGAATCCCTGTAACACCAGTACTAATAGATGGTAAGAGATGAGAATCCCTGTAATGTCAGCACTAATAGTGGGTGAGAGATGAGAATCCCTGTAACGCCAGCACTAACAGTGGATGAGAGATGAGAATCCCTGTAACGCCAGCATTAATAGTGGGTTAGAGATGAGAATCCCTGCAACGCCAGTACTAACAGGGGGTAAGAGATGATGATAAAAAAAATCCCCGGAGAACGATCGACATTTACATATAGAATATACTTCAGTAATTAATACAGAATCCTATCCCAGTAGATAATGATTTACACTGAATACTTGCCAAGCTGTCTGTTTCATACTGTTTATACAATGTAGTATTATATAACAAACACCATTACCAAACATCCTTTTACTTTTATCATTCCTGTTTAAACTGGTTTTGCCATGTTCAAGCTCACTAAGGGTTGTACGATATAATCTACAACACTGGAGCAGTTTATAGATGATGTAGTTTTGTGTGGAGTGTACACTTCAGCCTTTAATTAGTTCTCATGTTTCACAATATCTTTACCATACTGGATCTCTATTTTTCAATTATCACACATTTTTAATAAAATCAAAGACAAAAGATTGAATTTCGACTATTGCTATTACATGAGTCTCCAAAATCGAAAGGAACAACTTTTTCAGCATTACGTTGCTGAATGTTTTAACTCTGACCCGCTAACAGGCAACAACCCAGGTAATCTCACCTCAGTGACTAGAACCCGCTCATCCTGGAAATACTCCAGTATAGCGTGTTCAACTGGTTACATTATTGGGCATACGTAACTTCCCGCCAGGCGAAGGCTGCCTTATCAATCTACAATGGAACCATGAAAGACATTCGTGAAACGGCCACAATAAACAACGAACTATCTCACGTACACGTAGACATTGCTGCATGCTACCCATAATCTAAAAGACACCAACTTTCCCGGCAAAATAAGACCTCATTTGGTCACTATGTGTTGTTAAGGTGACACGGTCAGTGGCAATGACCGACGCTTTCTGTGATTATGGTGGCTATCTACACATCTAGTGTCACTAACACTAATTAGCATTACATCTCGGGGAGTATCCTTGGTACATGCACGGTTTTAATACCGTAGACCTTGGCATTACATCTCGGGGAGTATCCTTGGTACATGCACGGTTTTAAGACCGTAGACCTTTGCATTACATCTCGGGGAGTATCCTTGGTCCATGCACGGTGTTAAGACCGTAGATATTGGCATTACATCTCGGGGAGTATCCCTGGTACATGCACGGTGTTAAGACCATAGGCCTTGGCATTACATCTCGGGGAGAAGCTTGGTACATGCACGGTGTTAAGCCAGTAGACCTTGGCATTACATCTCGGTGAGTATCCTTGGTACATGCACGGTGTTAAGAGCGTAGACCTTGGCATTACATCTCTGGGAGTAGCCTTGGTACATGCACGGTTTTAAGACAGTAGACCTTGGCATTACATCTCGGGAAGTATCCTTGGTACATGCACGGTGTTAAGACCGTAGACGTTGGCATTACATCTCGGGGAGTATCCTTGGTGCATGCACGGTGTTAAGACCGTAGACCTTGGAATTACATCTCGGGGAGTATCCTTGGTCCATGCACGGTGTTAAGACCGTAGACCTTGGAATTACATCTCGGGGAGTATCCTTGGTGCATGCACGGTGTTAAGACCGTAGACGTTGGCATTACATCTCGGGGAGTATCCTGGGTACATGCACGGTTTTAAGACCGAAGACCTTGGCATTACATCTCGGGGACTATCCTTGGTACATGCACGGTGTTAAGCCAGTAGACCTTGGCATTACATCTCGGTGAGTATCCTTGGTACATGCACGGATTTAAGACCGTAGACCTTGGCATTACACCTCGGGGAGTACCTTGGTACATGCCCGGTGTTAAGCCCGTAGCCCTTGGCATTACATCTCGGGGAGGACCTTGGTACATGCACGGGGTTAAGACCGTAGACCTTGGCATTACATTTCGGGGAGTATCCTTGGTACATGCCCGGTGTTAAGCCCGTAGCCCTTGGCATTACATCTCGGGGAGAAGCTTGGTACATGCACGGTGTTAAGCCCGTAGACCTTGGCATTACACCTCGGGGAGTACCTTGGTACATGCCCGGTGTTAAGCCCGTAGCCCTTGGCATTACATCTCGGGGAGCATCCTTGGTACATGCACGGTTTTAAGACCGTAGACCTTGGCATTACCAGACACCTCAATAGATGTTTGATGACTATGACATACTGGGACCTTAGTGCACTTAACGATATTGACTATTCGTTTGTTTAAACTAAGGTCAGACTGAGTTAAAAGCATGAATATACCGGAATATTCATATTAATGCAATTTTACAATATACTGAAATGTTCACCTTAATATTAACGTTATGTACAATATACTGAATCGTTGATCTATATCTTAATGTCATGTTTGTATATTACAAGGTATACTGAAAGACTCGCCTGTATATCTACGTCTATCTCAAACGAAAACAAGCTCAATTGTTCTACTGTGTTCTGTGTTGTTGATATTTTCAGAAGAACATACTTTTCCATCTTTATTTTTATTTAATATCAATTCTGTTGAATGTAGCGATGTCTTTTAGGTCAATTTCATAATCCGGTAGCCATTTGCCTCCTTCCACTGTTTCGCCGGTAAGATTATCCACCCATGTCCCTTTCGGGAGGTAAACGTCTCTCTTCCTTTGTCCGTTCTCTAGTATAGGAGCCACCAGGAGTGTGTCCCCGACAAGGAACTCGGAATCAATAGTGACGGCGGTCTGGTCCTCCGGAGCGATCCACCACAGGGGGCGGATAAGGGGTGCGCCTGCAATTCAGAAGTGCACATTACAGGTCAGATGAACATTCATTGTATATCACATTAATAAAAACATTTTTTTAAACTTGAAGGAGAACTTTGATATTCCACATGCAATTTTTGTTATGAGTATAACAAGAGGCCCAATGGACCTGCATTGCTCACCTGGTATTAATCTCACAATTGTAACCTTAAAAGTGGACTAAAATACAGCTACAGGCAAAATATCAGTGTCTTGATTCAAAGTCATTCAGAAGAACCTGTTAAACGATTCAAACACATTTGACCCTCGTGACCTTGAAAGGCAAATATGGACAAACTTTATAGCCCTTCATCCGCGAATGCAACTTGCCAAATATCACCACCCTATACCTTTTGTTTATTGAGAAGATGAATTTTAAAGATTTATGCACTATGGACAAGATGTCACATTAAAAGTGTGTCAAGGTCATTCACATGAACAAGCAATCTGTGACCCTGTGACCTTAAAAATAGGCTTAGGCCATTCATGCCAACATCCTTCTGATCAAATATCATCACTCTGGACCTTTCGGTTATACAGAAGAAGTTGTTGAAAAGTTTTTAAGACAATTGACCCTTGTGACCTTGATTATGGGCGAAGGTCATTCATTTGAACAACCTTAGTAGCCCTTCATCTCCGCATACTACTGGCCAAATATCATCACCCTGGCTGGACCTTTGGTATTTAGAAGAAGTTGTTTAAAGATTTTAAAACAATTGACCCTTGTGAACTTGAATATAAGCGAAGGTCATTCATTTTAACAAACTTGGTAGCCCTTCGGGCGAGGTTAGCTAAAAAGTGCATCCGAGCAAATATGTCTGCTGTTTTTGTTTTTTCTTGGTGAATGAAAACATTTAAAAAACAATTATTTGACACAAACAAAATAGCAATAACTAAAATATATTTCAAAAAGTGTAACAGTATATAACATTGAGGTTAAATGGGAATGGCCTTCTATGAAAAACCAAGGAAATAACACAAATATGGCTTTGTCAATGTGGTATACTAGTAATTGTATAACGACACATACTGTTGTACTGGTGTGAGAATAGCACTTCTGGGTTTAGTTATGTTAAAGTTTTTTAACAAGCTGCATCTTGTAGCAAAATAATGTGCGACAACCTCAATGCTGAACAACTGTTTCCATCATATACCTACCGGATAGTTGGGAGTCCTCTGCGGCTCGCAATAAGATGGGTGAAACTATTTGCTCGTGAACCTTGACATAATGTAACGCTATGTCCATAACCTCGTCATCGTAGTCCCAAGGGACAAAAGAGAACTGCATCGCAGGAAGAAAAGCCGTCAGCTGGAGCCAGCGGATGTACAGTTCACGTTCCGGAAGTACCACATCGACCCCTATAACCTCCCCGTAGCCATTGCCTCCAATCATATCGGGTAGTATGTAGGGGTAGCCTAGGAGACCTAACGTTAAGGCTGTCGGTATAAGGGCTTTAAGGCCATTGTCGTATCCCCATTTGGAGTCTTTGTCGGCCATTCTAACAAATATTTGATGGTTTTGACTTTTAAAACCACATCGGACTTCTATCATGTCACCAAATTTACTGACGATATCGACAAATGCCTTAATGTAGTACCCCGGATTTTTCAGTGTTCTATATGTTTTGTATGATGATGGTAGATATGTCATTTCGCCGGCATCAAACTTGAAAGAATCGATACCATATTCCTGCTGCATAGTTTTAAGTCTGTTGATAAACCATTCGGCCGCCTCGGGGTTTGTCGTGTCGAGAATCGCACCTATCCCTTGCCACCATCTGACTAGAGCAGGAACCTGTCCACTTATGTCCATTACCCAGTACCCTTGGTCGACGCCCTCCCGGAACACCTCGGAATCAAGATTCGCGAATGGATGTACCCAAACCGTTACGCGATAACCCATGTCTTTAAGGGTTTGAATCATTCCGCTTGGATCTGGAAACTTGATTGGATCGAAGTCGAGATCCCCGTACGATACTGTGTACATATCATCAATCTGCAACTGACTGTTGGGATATCCGAATTCTTTTATCTCCCTGGCGTAGTCCAAAACCTTGGACTGGTTTATTAGTGTTTTGTACCGGGCCCACGTTGACCATATTGGCTTTCGTACCATTCGAAAATCAGGTATACCTATTGGAAGATCAAATGCCATCCTAGACATTGACTGAACGACGTCTAAGATATGTTTGCCTTTACAAATGGTATACTCCAGGTGATTGTTTGTGTACATAGTGTAACTTTGTGAGTTATTTGCACTGAAACAAATTTTGCCTGACTGATCCTCGTTGACACTAACTTGGATTGGTGAAGCATCACTCACCACAATTCCAAGTCCTTCTGAATTGACCCAAAAAGGTTCCAAGACATTTCCGAACGATTTATGGCGTACATATAAATCTTCTGGTACAAACGGCTGCATGGGGATCTCCATGTTGTTGATTGGCCATCGTTGATTATGAAGCTCCGCCCCTCCGAACCAGTGCGCGTGTGTCATGCTGATGCAGTCAATTGGAGAGAAATCTCGACTGATTTGTACCCACGTGACCTGATGACAAGCCAGCCCTCTTGTCGCCGCCACCTCCCGAACCACTACCTTGCCGTACCGCGGCCAGTCACGACACAGGCGAACGGCACCTAAGTCGTCTTCACTTAAACAGTCCGATGCCTCCCCGCGACCAAGAACGGGCCCAGTGGTCACGTGGACGGACCATGAGGCGTCATTAAAGACAATATCGTTATTTTGGTCCATGGTCACCTTCGATCCACACGTTTCCCTACTGCAGAACTCCTCTTCGTCTTTGTTGTCCATGTCTGTCAGTCGTTCTTTGGTTGCTGCTGTCAGAACCACCAACATGAGACACAAGACGACACTTCCTTTCATTATAGGCTTTGACAAAATCACTGCAAAGTACAGATAAAAGGACAATAAAAGTATCATATTTTCTGTTATAATATTTTGTGTGCATAAATTATAACATACAATAATTCTGTGTCGTGACTTCACTGTGCTACTGGTCATAATGAAAGCAAGTCGCTAGGGCATATACTAGCTATTACCATCAATCAGAAGTACCTTAGTCAGCAATTCTTTGCAAACAGCTTCTCATCGAATTCAGCATTAGAATATTTCAATTGAGAGATAACTGAAATTCATTCGACCAATATGGCATATTTTTCTTGAAAAGAAAATTGTCTGTTCTCTTTGTGTTTTCAGGATCGGGGTGACTACATATGTATAAATCATAAGACAAGATACCGCATTTTCTGAACACATTCCAATAATTGGTTATAAACACAGTATTCATTATCTACCTACACGACAAGCGGGGTTAACAGGATTATGTACTTACGAGCAAAGTACAACATCCCAATTTGGTCAATCATATGGGTTACCTTTCTATTGTGAATTAATGGTGATCTTTCCTCAATCACTCAATGGGCTAACAATGGTAAATCCTTTTTAACCCAAAAAAGACTCTAGCACTAACCTTTACTCGTAAACTCACTAATGCCTTATATAGGCTTAACCTCTGGTTTAAGCCCTATTTTAATACATAACCTGTTATATTTTTTAGGTAATACTTGTTATTATCTTCGTTTGTATTAACAATAAGATATTTTGATATTTCTTTTTACCTTTCTATATTCAGCAATACGTCAGTGATGCTATGGGTGTGCACCTTCTGTCACTGTTTTACTACAGTGGGGAAGGCTGTCACTTGGAGTATATGCCTTATTTTGTAATACCTAAATGGTTTATGCTATGATGACGTATGTTTTTAATTAGTGAAATGTTACTTTCCTTGGTTTTATTTATATAGTACTATTAATCCGTGTATTATTATTATTATATGCCAACTAACTGCCTGATAAGGTTTGTCTAACGACACATACAATGTAGCGCCCGATATCCTCTTCTCCATGTTAGTCACTATCTTCAGGGACTGGCCCAATACAATTTCAACTGGTAGACACTAAGTTTCCCATCCCCTCTGCTAACTGAAATTCTGTTGTCAGGTTCTAATTAACGAATTGAAGTAATAGTAGTTCAGTTAGGGACAAACCGACTATACCGTACATATGTTTTTATTAAAAAAATCGATACCAACACCGCGTTATCAGTAGTAATGGTTGGTCTTATTACAGCTGTTACCATATCAAGTCAATCTAGTGTAAGTTTCAATCCACCTGACGCAAACTTATTTAGAACACTAGTCCTTTTTTGCAAGAGATTTACTAACTTTTATGGTCGTAATAATAATAAGTTCTGTGGAAGGCATGTTTAGTTAGACGAGGAAATATGAAAAGAAAACAACACTAAAATTGTCTCTGTTTACTCGCGTATAAGATCAAGGGGCACGCGTCAGGACATGTTTTCATCCTTCTCGCTTTTGTTTACAAAGGGGGGAAAGGGGGCTTTCAACATACTCCCAAACCTTCAATGATAGCGTTGTTGTAGTAGTAAGAGTAACCATTGTTTACACTGTACCAGNGGCTAGTCATTAGTGACCTTGACATATCATAGGACGGAGTATACACACTCACGATTGAACACAGGTTTGACTTCATGCGTCCTATATGCATGTTACATGTACATTCAGAGACGGTACACACGTGTGACATAGGCCTAGTAGTTACTGGTTTGTGTGACACAGTAGTTACTGGGTTCTGTTTTTATGAGATATCTTATAAACATATGAGATATCTTATATAATTTGGTCAAGTACTGGATCAACATTGCTCCATGCATAAATGACACCTTGGCTTGCCATACCAGCTAGTCATTAGTGGCCTTCACATATCATAGGACGGAGTATACACTCTCACGATTGAACACAGGTTTTACTTCATGCGTCCTATATGCATGTTATATGTACATTCAGAGACGGTACACACGCGTGACATAGGCCTAGTAGATACTGGTTTGTGTGACACAGTAGTGACTGGGTTGTGTGACACACTAGTTACTGGGTTGTATGGCACAGTAACTACTGGGTTTTGTGACACAGTAGTTGCTGGGTTGTATGACACAGTATTTACTGGGTTGTATGGCACAGTAACTACTGGGTTGTTTGATACAGTAGTTCCTAGGTTGTGTGACAGTAGTTCCTGGGTTGTGTGACACAGTATTTACTGGGTTGTGTGATCCAGTAGTTCCTGGGTGGTGTGACACAGTAGTTGCTACGTTGTGTCATACAGTAGTTACTGGGATGTATGACACAGTAGTTACCGGGTTGTTTGACACAGTAGGTACTGGGTTGTGTAAGTAGCTCCTGCGTTGTGTAAGTACTTACTGGGTTGTGTGATCCAGTAGTTCCTGGGTGGTGTGACACAGTAGTGACTGCGTTGTGTGACACAGGAGTTACTGGGTTGTGAGACAAAGTAGTTACTGGGGTGTATGACACAGTAGTTGCTGGGTTGTATGACACATTAGTTACTGGGTTGTATGTCACAGTATTTCCTGGGTTGTGTGACACACTAGTTACTGGGTTGTGTTGCACAGTAGGTACTGGGTTGTGTAACTAGCTACTGCGTTGTGCGACACAGTAGTTACTTGGTTGTTTGACACAGTAACTACTGTGTAACACAAACCAGTAACGACAGTGTCACACAACGCAGTAGGTACTTACACAACGCAGTAACTACTGTGTCTCACATCCTAGTAGCTACTGTTTCATACAACCCAGTATCTACTGTGTCACACACCCCAGTAGTTACAGTGTCATACAACCCAGTAGCTACTGTGTCAGACAACCCAGTAACTACCGTGTCACACAACCTAGTAGCTACTGTGTCAGACAACCCAGTAACTAATGTGTCACACAACGCAGTAGCTACTTACACACCCCAGAAACTACTGTGTCAAACCACCCAGTAACTACTGGGTTTTGTGACACAGTAGTTGCTGGGTTGTATGACACAGTAGTTGCTGGGTTGTGTGACACAGGAGTTACTGGGTTGTGTAACTAGCTACTGCGTTGTGTGACACAGTAGTTTCTGGGTTGTATGACACAGTAGCTGCTGGGTTGTGTGACAAAGTAACTACTGGGTTTTGTGACACAGTAGTTCCTGGGTGGTGTGACACAGTAGTTATTGGGTTGTATGACACAGTAGCTACTAGGTTGTGTGACACAGTAGTTACTGGGTTCTGTGACAACTGTTACTGGGTATTATATTCGGTTGTTGTATAAAGAGGTCACCTTGTGATCTTATTGTTAAATAAACACGACACACATGTGTTGCATGGAGTATGCCGTACTGCCAATACACAATACAACAATACAACTGGTGCTTTAAATGCTTGACTAGCTAGATCTACTTACCTTGAGTTAGTCCCAGCTTGAGTGTAAGTCGACAGATGTGAATAAGTTTAGATTCCTGAGCGACCAGAGAGAGTACACCGGTGTGAAATGGGGAGGGTGTTTGCTAACCTTAACGGAAGCTACATGTGTAACCTCGATTGTTAGTACGGGTAACGCGGTATAGTCAATTTAGGTCCAATCAAGTCGCTCTAGATCTCTTATCTCGGCTCTTGTGTTATTTACAGCACAAGTGCACCGAAATTGTTTACAACTAATATATAACGTCGTTCGCCTTTCCTAGGAGGGTATTTCATTTTATGTGATTTGGGAATTTTTCAATACCTAGAATACTTACATGTAGAAACCTTCATGAACTCGTAGCTTTGCGTTATGGATACTAGTAATTTTAAGGTCGCCTAATATCAAACTGGACCAAAGTTGTATAGGGATAAGGAGCAAGAACATGCTGAGAAATTATCAATTTAAGACTGATGTAGCGTGTTCTTGTAGTTAGAAGCTTTAAAGCATTGGGTTTAAAATAACTAAAAATTCATCGTGGTACTTTTGTATCGGGATAACGGTGGTTTATTATCTTCGACAGACTTCTGTTGTAGGATATTACTGATGTTAATGTCATCTATCCTTTGTTGGCACGTTCTATGCGGTAACCCCCACTATTACAGTAGTTTAGACTCTCTGGCCCCTAGCATCTCTGATAAGTCCCAGAGGATGGAGCCACTGGCTGGTTCTGTATTTCGTGTTTGGTATACTGTATCTATTACACAACTCTATAGGTGCAATCACCCGTGTCCTACGTTAATCTTTGTGAACTCTCGCGTTACCTCAGAGTGGTGACTATCCCTACAAACAGGCTTAAACGAATCGAATTTGTGTCGAATCCTCAATATTTTTATAAAGTTTCCAAGCTATTTTTCAAATGTTATCAAGAACAGTTTGAAAACTCGTGTAAAACTCGTAATACAGTGCAAGGAAGCGAATACAGTATGGCTTGACACGGTGAACACTCAACTGTTTCTCCAGAATTTCCTTCAGATCTTCAAACGTGACATTGTAATCAGCAGGACTACTGTTGTCATGTCGATGTCCGCGACTACATTAACGTCTCCTTTGAGAAGTGAACAAAGACACTGCGTTAGTATCAGGATTCTATCCTAGACCTGACAACTACTCCTTTCCTACAGATATCACACGGTCTTTACATCCATACGGTACAACAATGGCAAGAAGACTTTAATGTTGCTGTCATTGTCTACGGTACGGGGTACTGAGTGTAGGGTTATTGGTTAGATAGTATACTCTCTCTAAAGTTACCAACAGTCAAACGCAGAAAAGAATGGTTAGAGAGATTAAGTGTTTGTATAAACATTGACACCCCCCCCCCCCCCCCCCCCCATATGTTTCACTGCTGAACGATGGTAGTTTATTCGATGTCGTAGTTTTCTTTCACCAACATACAAAACAATTGTATACCAAACCACACCCAATACCATGCGTATCAAACCACACCCAATACCATGCGTATCAAACCACACCCAATACCACGCGTATCAAACCACACCCCATACCATGCGTATCAAACCACACCAATACCATGCGTATCAAACCACACCCAATACCATGCGTATCAAACCACACCCAATACCAGGCGTATCAAACCACACCTACCATGCGTATCAAACCCCGCCCAATACCATGCGTATAAAACCACACCCAATACCATGCGTATCAAACCACACCCAATACCATGCGCACCATTTTCGGAGATTTCCCAATTCAGTGGCTCAAAGCTACTTGTACAATATTTGTATATGAATGAGGGAACTGCTGTTAGTCCTGAAATAATAAGTATACAGTATACTGCAGATCCTACCGCATACATGTACGTTTTTGTTACACATTTTGAAATATTAAAATACTCTGACGTGTCTGACACTTCCAACAAATCGGTTAGATCAATTTTGCAATTTTTTCATCTACAAACGCATAGGAGATTTTATGAAAAATATCTACAATCAGAGCTTTGGACAAACTTATTATCTTATTGTCTTTGAGGGTAACTCGAATTGTTCTCGGCCTTCAAGTAACGGGTGTTATACTCCTAAGATCCACTAACGTCGTGTACGTTGATTGTTGCACCAGATTTGATATACCAGTACGGACCAATGAACAAGGAGTTCGCAATGTATCCGGGTAGTTTAGATTACATACATAAATGTATATACACTACACATATATTATTCAGAGCCTTATTAATCATTCGGTAATATTGAGTGTATGATACAATTTTACATTCATAGTATGCAATATGCCAGGTATACTTTACACAAAACTACAGATAAACTCTTTAAACGTAAAATATAAAGTCCATCCATATATATCTCTGATTGCTTTACTGTTAGTTACGAACAAGTATGAGTGGTTAACTGGTCTTGCACAAATTTTACAAAATAAACTGTATTCCTTTGTCACCGTGTACTTAATTGGACACCGGCTCTCTCAGGTCAGACTGGTCCTTTTTCTTATTTACATACGGGGTCATAAAGGTCATATGTAAACAAAGCGAGGTCATCAATTAGCCCGAGTTTCCTCTGGTCCCACGCCAGACATATATCTGTCGAAACGTCCAAGTCTGGTGTCAGGGCCAGAGCTTCATCTGGTCCCACACCAGACATTTATCTGTCGAAACGTCCAAGTCTGGTGTCAGGGCCAGAGTTTCCTATGGTCCCAAACCAGACATCTATCTGTCGAAACGTCCAAGTCTGGTGTCAGGGCCAGAGTTTCCTCTGGTCCCACACCAGACATCTATCTGTCGAAACGTCCAAGTCTGGTGTCAGGGCCAGAGGAAACTCGGGCTAGGTCATCAATCTGAAAGTCGAAAACAAAGAAATGATCCCAAAATTCAATGATTAGAAATAAATTATTACTCATAACGTTTATAACCCATAACGTGTATTACTCATAACGTTTATTACTCATAACGTTTATAACTCATAACGTTTATTACTCATAACGTTTATAACTCATAACGTTTATTACTCATAACGTTTATTACTCATCACGTGTATTACTCATAACGTGTATTACTCATAACGTGTATCACTCAAAACGTTTATTACTCATATCGTTTATAACTCATAACGTTTATTACTCATATCGTTTATAACTCATAACGTTTATTACTCATATTTCGTATTGAAATATTTTAGGGATTCATTGTCATGTTTGTCATTAAGAGTTCTCCCCCTTGCCCTACACTTTCGAGCAGTTTCATTGTGAAAATATTTGCAAAATATCGTCCATGTACGTTGGTATACAATAACCATTGATGACCACATGTGAGTTAAACTTTATTTACCTGATGACTACCAAAAGTTTTCATTTTATATCCTACTTTTACTTTCAGTTTCGCAATTGGAGGAAAATTCAAGAGAGTATCCGAGTCTCTAAAGAAAATCTGCATCGCTTATAAGTTTGTATCCGCTGAAAAGTCCAGTCTTTAGTCAAGCGTATTGAGCTTCTGATTTTAAGGCCACGTACGGGAAAAGCTATGGCGAACACCGGCACACAAGGAAACTCATCTCGAGTTGTGTTCTCCAGTTATGTTGTAATATTCCTTTTTACGTGTGTTCTTGTTGGTTTTGTACACAGCCATGAACATGGCCACGCCCATGATCAACCTGAAGAAAATCCGTCGTTTAAATATTCGAAGAAAGCCAATGTAGCAGATGGACATGGACACGCACATGATGATGGACATGGACACGGGCACGCTCATGGACACGCTCACGACTCACAACCGCCCGTCACCAGTAAGACTGTTCACAGAGAAACAGGACTTATGCTATGGGTGCAAGCCATAGGAGCTACGTTTATTATCAGTATATCTCCTGTATTCATTTTATTATTTATACCTTTAGAAAACACAAAAGAAAGTTCACCATTATTAAAAGTTTTACTAAGTTTTGCCTCTGGTGGTCTCCTTGGTGATGCATTTCTTCATCTCATCCCTCATGCTGTGTCGCCCCACAGCCACGACCCAGAGCATTCCCACAGCCATTCCCATGGTGGAGAGGAAGGACACTCACACGATATGTCTATTGGTCTGTGGGTACTCGCAGGAATTGTTGCCTTCCTAATTGTGGAGAAGTTTGTACGTTACGTTAAAGGTGGACATTCTCATTCCCACAGCCATGGGGCTGGTCAAGCTGCAGATAAAAAGAATGTGAAAAAGGAGGATTCCCAAACAACTGATGCAGGAAAAACTGACAAGAAAGATGACACTGTCAGTAAAAAAGAAACAAAAAATCCAGGTATAAATCTGCTAGTTTCATAAAAATAAATCCAGAATCACTTGGTATGTTTATATACTTTTACCAGCATCAAATGAACTTAAAACATGAATTTTGTTATATATGTTTGATATATTTCTTTTAACCTATATTAGCAGAGTGTTAGAAAAGAAAATATTACCTGCAAACTATTGATTCAGGACTTCCTTCACTTCAGCTTTAGATCATTACTACATATATATACTTAATATACATATAGTCAGTGAAATCAACACACAGTGTAAAGTAATCTCCGTCAGATTTATAATTGATTTGTTTGTCTGCAGCAGCTGCGCCAGTAGAGGATATCAAGGTGGCTGGCTACCTTAACCTTGCTGCAGACTTTGCCCACAATTTTACTGATGGGCTAGCCATTGGGGCCTCATTCCTGATGGGTCGTAACCTCGGGATCATCACCACTATCACCATATTTCTGCATGAAATTCCACATGAAATAGGAGATTTTGCCATTCTCGTGCAGTCTGGCTGTACAAAGAGAAAGGTAATATTTTGTAAGGCTTTTACAATTCAATCCTGTGATCTCAGAACTTTGATTTACCAAGCGTATAACATTGAATAGATAATTTTTTTACTTAGCTCCTGGATCCAGAGTTTCTGACCAGACCTGTGGATCTTTTGTATGACATGTTTGAGTAGTTCTAATCATTAAAAGACTTTCATTCTGATTTCTCCAAATACAATTTGAGGACATATATGTCAATTTGAAATATTAAAGATAAGTTTGATAATAATTATGTTCAGTAAATATAGGCAAAGCTGCCTGTTTAATATAGATATTGTAGGTTTTGAGTGAGGATCTACTGCGATAGTCTATGATGCCTATGTCATTGAAGGCTTTTAGTCAAGGCCTGTTGCTGTTTATCTATGAGTAATATAGGTTAATAAAGTGTTTGTTTTGTATAGCTCAGCTTAGTCTATCACTATAGGACCTTTTGTTGGTTATTTACAGGCAATGATGTTGCAGTTCTCCACAGCCATTGGAGCCATGCTAGGGACTGTGTGCAGTCTGTTGGCTGAAGGTGTCGGGGAAGCAGCTACGCTCTGGATCCTCCCATTTACAGCGGGCGGGTTTATATACATTGCCACAGTTTCTGTTATACCAGAACTGCTAGAGGACTCTACCCTAGGCCAGTCGGTAAAGGAAATCTTAGCTCTTTTAGTCGGCATATATATGATGGTGCTCATAGGGCAGTTTGAGTAGGAAGAAGATATCAGTAGCTTTAAGTCAAGGAAATGCTGTAATGTGGCAGATAAGATCTATAAAAAATATCAGAAAGCTCTACTAGTTTGAATCAAGTTTTTTTTTTATTAAATACAGAAAACTGTAATGTTAAATTTATTTATTGATCAGAGAGCTGAATTGTTTATTTGGGATCTCTTTGTTTTAGTAATCGAAACATTCTGCAAATCCTCACCATGATTCCTTAAGAATAAGCTTAATGTAAGTTCACAAGAGTTAGTGTTATCAAAGAGAATTATTCAGTACATGTTTCAGCTGTTAATGATTTTTGTGCTATTGTTTCTGCATGTAAGAGATTGTAGAGAGAAAGATTTAGATGTACATGTGATGTTTCAGGAAAACCCCCAATATAGAGTGTGTGTTCTGGACCTGTTTATGTACTGATTGCTCTATACAGAAACAGACTGATGTATTTAACTTACCTAATTGTATGTGTGAGAGTAGGGGAAAGGTTGTTGTTTACTTTTGTTGCTTGTAGTGGAAGTATGTCATGATCTATCACAATGATATTAGCACAAAGTTTGCCAATATCATTCTTCATTGACATTCATAATCATTTTATAATACAGCTACTTCAACTCATTGCATTCAAGGAATGCAATTTTGAAGAAAATTAACTGTTTAACATATTTTTTATTTTCAACAGAACTGTTATATAATAAGTACATGATTTACTGTAATACAATACATATCAGTTCATGATATTGAAAGTTTAAATTGGTAGGAGTTGACTTGTTGGACTTAATGACTAGTGATGAGAGTGTAATATGCTAGGTTTGATGAGTAATGGACCAATCAGACTCATGTAAATCTCCAAGACTAAAGGTAAAGTTGTAGGCTCATATAAAACTAGTGTAACACTTATAGGATGGTGTGGATGTTAAGACATGTATGTAATTAGCAGTATACAGTCAAACTATCAGTGTGATCTACTGACAATACATGTAGTCATCACTACCCAGGCTGCAGGCCATTCAGGTCTGTTTTAGACAATTATACAAGTTGTGTATGGAAATGTCCTGAGGACTATGATAACACTCTGTGTACATGTAATGGATGAGTGAACATGTATTTAGAAAAGTTTGTGGTTGTGGGAAAAAATGCTGTAATTTGATAACTTACTTTAACCCATGTACTAGTCATAGGAGGGCAATGTTTGCTCAAAGTGTTTAAGATCATCTGACTGTATAATTCATTTCAGTCTTTAGTGCTACATGGAAGATAGATTTTGTATACTGTACATTTAGTACATTCCAAAGTGAATCATGGCTTATGGTTGATTGATGTTGTGTTAAATTATCTAAAATGTGACTGTATTTCCATTGTAACACTATTTTGTCTGCAGATATTTAACGTGAAGGTACACAAAATGGAACACTTTTTAAAGAAAAATATAAATATTCCTATTTAGTTACTGGAACATCATTATGTTTTACTATAATGAAACAATAATTGCTGTGCTTCATACAATCTAGTACCCAAAACATAACACCTCATTATGTAAGGATATGAAAGAACCTGAGAACATTTCAATTACTTGTCTTTGTTTAATGTAGGTTTTGACAATTTCAACTGAATTTTAGTAATTTATTCATTAGAATATTAATTTTGAACTATACTTCTCAATGTTTAGACATGTGTCAGTGTGATAGGATATTTATGCTTTTGCTTCATACAATCTAGTTGGAATCATTTTCATTTAATTTTCTGAATATTTTTAGTTGAGTTCATGAGATATATATGAGAGGTAGGCAGTTCATTGTCCGATACCCCTTGCTGTTTTTGCTTCGATAATCACTTATGAAATGAGCGAATATCGAAGCGAAATCCGCCGTAGGTATCCGACGATGTAGGCAGATAAAAATTGCTCCAATTCCTAAAACTAAAAACTGTTCCAATTTCGATTTTGAATAGATGCCATTAACTTGTATTGCAAAATTAAATGCTGCATCCTACAACTGAAAACTGTTCACATTAGTCACATCAACAGATTTGAAAAAAATGACCCACACAAACAATGTACGGATAGATGTTTCAGTGGAAATCTCATGTGTGGAACAGTAACTGTTACAACTGTCACAAAGTATATGTGGTATATTCATTGTAGTTTAAGGTATGTAGCGAACTGACTGATGTTTAAAGTACAGGCTGTGGTGCATGAATATTTGATTTGATGTAATAAACACATTCTGGTACATGTATTAAATAAATGGTGATAGAAAAGTACTGTGGTTGAGTTTTCTCCTTTGTTACATCACTGGTCTGTGTGTCCCTGTGTCTGTGGTTTACAGTGCAGCATCACTAGGCTCAGTATGTGGTTAAATCTAGGAAAGGAGGAAGTGTCCTTTATCTTAATTAGGTCACTGTGACCTACAGGTTGACATGCATCAAAAAAATCAGGAGTAGCTGTATGCAGACTTTGTATGTGGATGCAGACTTTGTAGCTGGATGCAGACTTTGTATGTGGATGCAGACTTAGTATCTGGATTCAGACTTTGTATCTGGATGCAGACTTTGTATGTGGATGCAGACTTAGTATCTGGATTCAGACTTTGTATCTGGATGCAGACTTTGTATGTGGATGCAGACTTAGTATCTGGATGCAGACTTTGTATCTGGATGCAGACTTTGTATGTGGATGCAGACTTGGTATGTAGATGCAGACTTTGTATGTGGATGCAGACTTTGTAGCTGGATGCAGACTTTCTATGTGGATGCAGACTTTGTATCTGGATGCAGACTTTGTATGTGGACGCAGACTTTGTAGCTGGATGCAGACTTTGTATCTGGATGCAAACTTTGTTTGTGGATGCAGACTTTGTATCTGGATGCAGACTTGGTATCTGGATGCAGACTTTGTATCTGGATGCAGACTTGGTATGTGGATGCAGACTTTGTATGTGGATGCAGACTTAGTATCTGGATGCAGACTTTGTATCTGGATGCAGTCTTTGTATCTGGATGCAGACTTTGTATGTGGATGCAGACTTAGTATCTGGATGCAGACTTTGTATCTGGATGGAGACTTTGTATGTGGATGCAGACTTTGTATGTGGATGCAGACTTAGTATCTGGATTCAGACTTTGTATCTGGATGCAGACTTTGTATGTGGACGCAGACTTTGTAGCTGGATGCAGACTTTGTAGCTGTATGCAGACTTTGTATGTGGATGCAGACTTTGTATCTGTATGCAGACTTTGTATGTGGATGCAGACTTTGTAGCTGGATGCAGACTTTCTATGTGGATGCAGACTTTGTATCTGGATGCAGACTTGGCATGTGGATGCAGACTTTGTATGTGGATGCAGACTTAGTATCTGGATTCAGACTTTGTATCTGGATGCAGACTTTGTATGTGGACGCAGACTTTGTAGCTGGATGCAGACTTTGTATCTGGATGCAGACTTGGTATGTGGATGCATGTAAGGAAGACTGTCCATATTAAAATTAGTTCACTGCAACTTGCACTTTCATCTCTGACCTCAAGGAAAATATTGTTGAAATGCGCCTTCCTTGTGACGGTTATAGGTGCAAGTTTAGATGATCCTGTTTGAAAATTGTGAAAAATTAATATTTCAGCTCTGACTTACTGCAGCAGCCAAAGCAGCAAAGAAAGGGATAGATTTTCAGAATCTTAATTCTTGGTCATCCTTACGATTACGTCGGAATGACATCAAATTGCTGAGATTTTCATTTTTAGCTCACCTGCTGGAATGTCCGCCGTCAACTTTTTACTTTAAACAAATTCTTCTCAGTAACCAAAAGGCCTAGGATGATGATATTTGGCCAGTAGCATGCTGGAATCAAGGGCTACTAAGTTTGTTCAAATAAATGACCTTGACCCACTTTCAAGGTCACAGGGGTCAAATATATCAAAATCTTCAAACAACTTCTTCTCAATAACCAAAAGGCCCAGAGAACTGATATTGGGCCAGTAGCATGCTGAGATAAAGGGCTACAAAGTTTGTTCAAATAAATGGCCTTCATCTATATTCAAGGTCACAGAGGTCAAATATGTGAAAAATATTCAACAACTTCTTCTGAATAACCAAAATGCCCAGGGTGATGATATTTAGTCAGTAGCATATGCTGGGATCAAGGATTACTTTGTTTGTTAAAGTGAATAACTTTGACTTATATTCAAGGTCACAGGGGTCAAATTTGTTTAAAATCTTTAAACAACCTCTTCTGAATAACCATGGGTCCCAGGATGTTGATACTTTGCAAGTTGCATCCTGAGATGAAAGGCTATACAATGTGTTCAACATAATGACTTTGTTCGACTTTCAATCACAGGGGTGAAATGTTTAAAAAAAAAAATAACAGGGTCTTTTGAATGAATTTTTATCATAAATACTGATATTTTGCCTGTAGCTTTATTTTAGATCACTTTTAAGGTTACAAGTGTGAGTTTTATACCAGGTGAGCGATGCAGGCCCATTGGGACTCTTGTATTCAAGGTCACAGGAGTCAAATATGTTAAAAACTTTAAACAACTTCTTCTGAATAACTAAGAGGCCTATGATAATGATATTTGGCCAGTAACATGCTAGGATGAAGGGTTACCAAGTTTGTTCAAATGAATGACCTTTACTTATTTTCAAGGTCACAGGGATCAAATATGTTTAAAACCTTTAAACAACTTCTTCTCAATAACCGAAAGTCCTAGGATGATGATATTTGGCCAGTAGCATGCTGGGATAAAGGGCAACCAGGTTTATTCAAATGAATGATCTTTATTTATAATCAAGGTCACTTGGGTCAAATATGTTTAAAGCTTTTATACAACTTCTTCTGAATAACCAAGAGGCCTAGGATAATGATATTTGGCCAGTAGCATGCTGGGATAAAGGGCTATCAAGTTTGTTCAAATGAATGACCTTTACATATACTCAAGGTGACAGGGTCAATTATGGAACCTTTAAACGACTTCTTCTCAATTAGCCAAAGGCCAAGGGTGATGATATTTGGTCATGAACAGGCTGGGATGAAGGGCTACCAATTTTGTCAAAATGAATGACCTTCGCCCATTTTCAAGGTCACAGTGGTCAATATATGTTTAAATCTTTAAATGACTTGTTCTGTATAACCAAAGGGTCCGGGGTAATGATATTTTGCCAAAAGCATGCCGGGATGGAAGACTTTAAACTCTGTTCAACCTAATGTCCTTGTTCGGCATTCGAGGTCACGGGCAACATATGTTTAAATCTTTTAGTGTGAGATTAATACCAGGTGAGCGATTCAGACCCATTGGGCCTCTTGTTACAATAAGGTACATTTGTACACTGTATCTGAACTTTAATAGTTTCTGTACACAGAATGCTGCTAATTTGAACTTGAATAAACTTGATACCTCTTTATCCAAGCTTGCTCCTAGTTTAATCATCACAGCAGTATTCAGAAGTTATTTGAAGGTTTTAAAAAAATTGACCCTGATGACCTTGAGCTTGAATGTAGGTCAAAGTCATCCATTTGAACAAACTTTAGAGCCTTTGATCTGAGTACTAGTGCTGTTTGTAAAAAAAAATTAATGCATGCAACATTGAAAGTGGGTCAAAGTCATTAATTTGAACAAAGTTGATAGCCCTTCATCCTAGCATGCTTCTGACCGTATATCATAACTAAGTCTCTTAGTTGTTTAGAAGAATTTGTTTAAAAGTTAAAGTTGATGCCAGACTGAGGGGACTGACGCTATCCACAACATATAAGCTCTCTTGGCTCTTCAGACCAGGTTAGTTAAACACTAAATAGTAAGTAAAGATATAGTCTATTAGGAAGAAAAAGAACAAAAGATCCATGAATTTTTGATGGTTATTAAAACTTCAGCATGAAATTAAAAACTATGATTGAATAGAAATTAAGCCACAGGATTTTCTGGAGTGGAAGAACAAGTTTGAACAAGTTTTGTTTTTTGGTATACGACTACGAAATAGAAAGGAAATACAAATTATATTTTCAAAATTGTTCCCCCATTGGGAAAGTGTTTTAAATAAAGAAAAGCACAATTTATAGCTATCATATATTGCATGCATATGTATGAAGTTTTTTTAATTTATTTTTTATTTGATAAATAATTATAAAGGATTCATTTTTACCCGTGTAAATGATATAATTTCTTGATAATAATTCATAAAAATAAAAAAACGTTTCTTTACTCAGTTCCGGAATTCCGGCTCCTTTTTGTATTTATACGATTCATATATTGACAACCGCATTTTCGTACTTTTTCGACTAGAAGCAGACGGAACGATAGAGGAAGGAAGGGATTGCTTGTAACTCTATCTGTAGCAAATGACAGTTTATAGTGCCAACGTTATTGAGATTGCGAATTGTTATCTTGAAATAGGAGAATTTGGTTGATGTCTGCATGGAATAATATTTTCAAAATGTAACACTTCACAAGCGTAACTCAAAATACACGTGTTCACTGGGCACATCAAAATTGAAAGTAGGAAGTGGCGGGAATGAATGTCAAGTGTTTGTTGTTTAGTGGTAGCATATATTTGTTTATTCGATTTTAATACGGTTTAATAATGGCTGATAAAGCCCAAAAGAAGGAAGAGACAAAAAAGCAATTGAGAGCTTTGCTTCTCTCGGCCCCAGCTGCATTGACTGCAAATGAACTAAAAAGAGATTACCATGATTTTATGGGTGATCCCATCCCGTTCAGGGAACTGGGATATACCACCCTCGAAGATTTACTTAAGGACATGCCAGATGCTCTGAGAGTATCTTGGAAGAATGGTGTTATGTGTCTTGAACCAGTGGCCCAGGAGGCATCTGTCCACATCCAAAAACTAGTGTCTAAACAGAAAGTAAACAATAAGAACAAATGGGCAACTCTACGAAATGGTGGACCCTCAACTCGGTCAAGAGGTCCACCACAACCGAGGTCCTTCAGGTCCTACAATAGTAACAGACACCAACTGAGCCATGCTCCGCCACGAAATACTCGGCCTAATCGTCCTAACCCTGTCTCGGCATACATACGAAAACAAATTTCAGAGCTTCTTAAATCTTACCCAAATGGATTACCATTAACACATTTTGATACAGCCTTTTCCCGTCGGTTTGGTGTTCCCCTTAGTCCATCAGGTCTTGGTTTTGATTCTATGAAGGACCTTTTAGACTCTCTACCCGATATTGCCAAGTTGAAGGAATTCCAAGGAGGAGAATGGCGTGTTGCTCCAGCATACATTGAGTCTAGGGAGCAAGTTCCACGGTACAAACCCCCACATCTCTCTGATCGAAAGTCTGACACAAACAAGGGGTTCAACAGACAACCAGAACAGTCGAGAGATTTTCGTACTGCAAGTGAGCCAATTAGAAAATACAATCGGAGAACAGAGAGGACTGATCAATCACAAATAAATTTCCAGCCAGCAGGAATAGAGGAAGGGGACTTCATGGAAGATATCCACTGCCAGATTCCTCAACAAGACTTCATTGCTATACCAGGGAGAGAAAACACAGGGAAAAAATCCTTGATTTCCCCTGGTGGCGCAACTATTTCCCCACCATCGGCACCCCATGCACCCCGAGGAAGAGGTGATTTTGATAACCTTATTTTTTTTTATATAAGGCATAGAAAGTGTATATAACTATGCAAGCATGTGTTTATTAGAGCCATGGCTATTTTTTACAGATCTTTATCATTGCTGTGTCTAGATCTCTATTCGGTAGTAACAGTTTTGAAGTAGAAAAGTTGATATTCATATATTTTCCATAAGTGGTTTAATTTAAAGCAATGCTTTCAATTTTTGTTATGTGTGTTGTTTAAGAACACTATGGTCAAAATATCGACACCAAGGTCTAGTAAATCTTATTCACTTGTGAACTTTTTTTCAATATCAATAATGAAATCCTAGGTTGAACTTGTGGAATGTTTAAAATCTACATGCATGGTAGTTTTCTGAATATAAATGTAGCCTTTGGGTATATTGTGCAAAAATTATGTAATTGCAACAGTGCAGGCATTATAAGGTTAATTGTTGTTGAACCTTGGATAACGGAACTGGACTGGGTCAGTCTCTGGCATTACCTAGCTGGTAGCTCTGTAAGTTATTTTTTTTAGAATTTGGAGGGCGTGGCTTTGAATCCCAGTCTGGCTGTTGGATTTTTTCCTTTAACTATATTACCTAAGGAAGGTGGTTTAGACTCTGTAGCTTAATTAGATAGAATTAATGTTAATCTAAAGTTCAGAGGTCTATATAGTTTGTATCCCAGTCTAGATCGCCTCACTGTAATTTTCCTTACACTAGTGGTTACCTGTAACATATAAATACATGATTCAGCTGCGTTTATTTGACAAAAGCAGAATTGCCTGGATAATCAGATCTATACATAAGCTATAATGTCTGTTGGTTTAAATGAAGTCTTGACTTTAATTTCTTTAATTTTCATTCAGTTATGTCTCCCCTTCGAATGAAGACACATATTGTAGTAATGGGTATTCTGGTTCTGGTTCTTCTAATATACTTGCATCACCCGTAGTCTATGTGCAGTGCATTCTCATTAGGTCATTGTGACCTTGACCCCGACCCCAAGGTCAAAAGTCAAATATGTGTAAATTTTTCAGGAACATCTTGTCTGGGCTATAACTTTCAAACCATTAACAATATCTTGATGAAACTAGCAGTACAACTGCATCATTTACATATGATGTGTAATGCAGTATAATTAGTTCACTGTGGCCTTTACCTCAAGGTCAAAGGTAAAAAATAGTCTGATTGTTTCAAACATCTGAAGGTGTATGCCAAGGTGATGTCATTAACAGTCACTCATTTTGCTTAAACTTCGTATGCAAGTATATGATGGCATTGTAAACTCTGTCCAAGCATCATTTGCAACTATGGGGTCAGTTTGAGGACTTCTGTAATGGTCCCCGTTATACTTGTTCATATGCATTTTATAATTAAGCAGTAGGTAGTTCCTCAAATGATCAGGTGAAATAAGTGCTAAGTTAAAGATATCCTGATAAAACTATCAGTTTATCTGCATCACCCATCATCACGATGATAATGCACTGTCGTTAGGTCACTATGACCTTGAACTGGAGGTCAAATGTCAAATAAGTGCAAATTTTTCAAAAATGTCTTGTCAGGGCTGTAACATTTAAACAGTTAAAGGGGAGACATATGTGATTGTTCACCAAAACAAATGTTTAGGTAATTATGCTTTAGTGTATACAGGAAACATCTGTGATATATTTTTTGCCATTTAACTGTTGATTGTTTCATGGCATACAATGACAACATTAAAAGTCTTCTTTCCACTTTTACCTTTATTAGGAAGGCGACGAACAGGAGACAGAGGTGACGTTGATGTGAGATCCCAGGGCCGTGACAGTGTGTCCAGTGGTGGGTCTCTGGAGGTCTTGTCATCCCCGGGGGCAGGGGAGTTTGATGTCAGCGTTGTAAGCGAGGTGGTACAGAACAACATTAGACAGGTACTAAAACAGTTCAAATCGTCAACCTACAGATTTTTCAGCTTTATTGAGCTGGAAAATGTTCTGGAAAAAAAAAGAAGTGTAATCAAACAATTGATGCAGAGTCTGATTTGTGAAAGTTATTTAATCACTTAATATCTTTATCTAATACTTACGCTTCTGTTATAAATTCAAACAAACTAGTAAAATAATCCCTTGCATTATGATTATGATGTCACACTTTTGAATTCCATCACTATTATGCTTTTGTTATATGGATATTTGATCACATTAAATACCTATAAGATAACGATGTCTTTGTTGATTTTGTAAGTTATGAGCAGCTCAATCAATTTAATATATGTGAAAAAATATTATGTCAATTGGACCTTCTCTATTGACAGATTCTTGAAGAACAAAAGGAAGGGGTTTGGGCCATACAGCTTCCAGCCAAGTATATGGTATATTTAGCTCACCTGTCTCTTTCTATAATATGTCCTGTAAAAAAAGGTATTACACCTTATACATGTAGGATAGCTTCAGGCTTCTCATTGTAATCACAATTTCTGAGAAGCTTGACAAAGTATCATTTAGACGACTAATCTATAGTTCAAGCAATTTGTTATACGTGTACTAAAGTTTTGTGGTCCTAAGATTCTTACAATACTACATCTAACATCTTTATTTATGGAAGTTGTATTTCATGTTCCAAATACAAATCACAGACCCCCTCAGTGTGTAGTCTTATGTTTGGAATTAGTATTGTAAGGAGGTGGTATTTATAAATCACTGTTTTGTCTGCATTGTTCAGAAGCGGTGTGGGAAGGAGCTGTCGTTTCGAGACTATGGTTACTGGAGTCTGGTTGAGATGCTGGCTTCACTGCCTCAACTCATGCGCCTGGAGCGCCCAACTGACAATGGAGACTGGTTGTGCTTTGATGCCAGATTGCCTGTGCCAAAAAAAACTGTAGTGCAGAAACAAAAACCTGATTCATCAAAACGAGGTGTGTGTCTGGGACTGAAGGTTGTGGTCATCGTAAACGTATGAGAGGATGTACCTGACAGAAATGTTAACATAAGTTCCAACTTCCCCTGCTGTTATTTGTTCCCCAGGGGGACTATAGGTTTGCACTGTGACGTGTCTGTCCTTCAGTCCATCAAAATTCCATCCAACCCAAATTTTCTCGATACTATTTCACCCGGAGTAATCAGATTTGGTATACAAGTACATCATAGAATGGCAGAGTGTTGTGTACAAAAAGTAGGTCACTACAGTGACCTATGGTATAGGGGTATGTCTTGGCTGGTGAAGTGTGGAGCACAAGAAGTGTGTTACTGTGAAAAACATCCTGAGATAGGTATACAGCTCGGGGTATGTCTTGGCTGGTGGAGTGTGGAGGACAAGAAGTGTGTTACTGTGAACTACATCCTGAGATAGGTGTACAGCTCAGGGTATGTCTTGGCTGGTGGAGTGTAGTGTACAAGAAGTGTGTTACTTTGAACTACATCCTGAGATAGGTGTACAGCTCAGTAAATATAGAAATCACTGTTGGAGTGTGGAGTACAAGAAGTGTGTTACTGTGAAAAACATCCTGAGATAGGTATACAGCTCGGGGTATGTCTTGGCTGGGGGGGGGGGGGGTACAAGAAGTGTGTTACTGTGAACTACATCCTGAGATAGGTGTACAGCTCGGTAAATATAGAAATCACTAAGGGTGGGGGGACTATGGATTGCCTTGCAATATTTTGCCTTGTATGAACAGATATTTCAGTACAAGAATAAAACTGACCAATCAATGGTAAGATTGGAGAGGTTATTGGAATTATGTTTGTTCATCTATCCATCCACCTAAGTCTTCTCACAGTACCTATAGGCTGAAAACTAAATACAGTGTTTACTCATTGAAAAAGCTCTATTGAAATTGCTTTTCAGGTCTATAATTCAAGGATTTGAAAATGGTTAGTAGAGTTGAGATGGAGTGCTAAATTAGAAATGGTGTAACATTTGTTACAGAGAGTTGACATATAGGCTATACATACAATCAACGCACTCTTTGTACATTTGGGCAGAAACAGTCTCCAAAGGACGATACAGCAGCAGAGGAGAGTTGGATTCTCAGATGGAGGAAAAAATCAGACAGGTGTTGCAGTGCAAACCCAGAGGTGTGCCTCTTAACGAGTTCTCCAATCTATATAAGGTAAGTTGGAATGTTCTGATGTAATTTACAGGTATAGATGTAAGCAAATGTAAGGTGCATTTGAAAATTAGTAAAAGTACAGGTGGAAACAGGTGTAAGATGGCACTGTCTGTAGGCTTAATAAATACCTCAAGCATTGTAAACAGTTGTTTATACAGATGGCAACAGGTGTAATAAAAGATGTACCTGGTGATATACAGGTGTAATATAAGATGTACCAAGTGATATACAGGTGTAATATAAGGTGCACCCGGTGATATACAGGTGTAATATAAGATGTACCCAGTGATATACGTGTGTAATATAAGATGTACCCAGTGATATACAGGCGTAATATAAGATGTACCCAGTGATATACAGGTGGAATATAAGATGTACCCAGTGATATACAGGTGTATATAAGATGTACCCAGTGATATACAGGTGTAATGTAAGATGGACCCAGTGATATACAGGTGTAATATAAGATGTACCAAGTGATAAACAGGTGTAATATAAGATGTACCCAGTGATATACGTGTGTAATATAAGATGTACCCAGTGATATACAGGTGTAATATAATATGTACCCAGTGATATACAGGTGTAATATAAGATGTACCAAGTGATATACAGGTGTACTATAAGATGTACCCAGTGATATACAGGTGTAATGTAAGATGTACCCAGTGATATACAGGTGTAATATAATATGTACCCAGTGATATACAGGTGTAATATAAGATGTACCAAGTGATATACAGGTGTACTATAAGATGTACCCAGTGATATACAGGTGTAATGTAAGATGTACCCAGTGATATACAGGTGTAATATAATATGTACCCAGTGATATACAGGTGTAATATAAGATGTACCCAGTGATATACACCCAGTGTGTTTTGTATAAGTGGAAACAAGTACTAAGGGAGATAAGGCTGATATAAGGTTGAGGATGACAATGTATACTTGTGATATAAAACTGGAATGTTTGTTTTACAGGATTTAACAGGAGAAGTGTTACCCTTTAGAGAGCTGGGCTACGACAAGATTGAGTTCTTTATGATCCCCCTGGCAGACAGTGTGCTACACCTGGAATACATGGGAGATGGTAACATGCTAGTTCTTCTTCCTTTTTTTCTCTCTGCCTCTCAATCTGGCTGTGTCTTTCCCTCTCTTTCTCAGTACAGAGAGTTACTGCAAATCATCTGTGTCCCTATTCAACAATATTATGGCAGAGACAATAACCGTGAACCATGTGAATTATAAGTTTTCTTGTCAAACGCATAGTGTGATAATATCTGTCATGGAAAAATTGTGAAAATGATGTGATTGACAGTACCTGTCAGAAAATCACAATTTCTTATATGCTTCTTTGCTGTTGATACATATTTATAGCATGTTTGTTATTTTAAAGATGTTTTGAGAAAAACTGAGAAAACATGTCAATCTGTCTATAGGTTGTATGATGGTGTATGCTATGGACAATGGAAAACCTCCTCGCAGGGATCTTATCATCAACCCACCAAAAGATGAGGTAAGCACTGCAGGATTAGTTAGGACACTAGCACTAGGTAAGACACCAACACTCCAGGTAATACATCGTAGGACTAG